CTCTCATTTATCGTCTTTTGTGGACTAGAGTTATGATGTTGATTTATAAACTTGACATTTTGCATGAATTTACTCACATAATAGTTAAAGTAACAGAAAATATATTGGAATTATCAAAGAAAATTGTTTATATATTTCATTGGAAAACTGAATGTCCGTGTTAATATTTCTAAGTCGTCATCTAGAAATACAATTCCTCAAAATTTTTATTGTACTATATGTAATCATGTAACCACAAAATATATAATAGATCATTTTAAAACTATTCCTACAAATTATCGGAGTAGTGATGGTTCTCAAAATTGTTTACAGTGTACAAGTAAAATTATTATAGTGTATTAGTCATTATATTCTGTCCATATTCACCGTCAACATAATCTGTAGTAAATAATTCCAAATAAAGCTAATACTTATTTTTTTGTACATACCGAAATAACTTATAATGATCCAAACATGATGTACATGTATTGATTTTAAATCAAAGTATATTAAAGGTTTGAAATGTAATTAATCCAAATATTAATACACACGTACGTACAGGTACGTGTGTATGCATACATATTTTTATATCGCAATAGCTTTAAAAATTTAGCACATTATTGAAGCTTTTAAAGTCTATTTAGAAAGTTGTGTAAGGGTAGTAATTGAATGATCGTTACAGACTACCCAGAGACTTCAGTGTGTTAACTGAAAGATAATAAACAATATTTGAACAGAGCTATGACATTTTATTTTTTATAAATTTTAATGCCGATTCCTTTGTCTTGTTTTTTGCTATCATAGCAACAAGACAAATTTATATGGTGTTCTACTTTGATTTTGAAATAAAACTTTTGGTCCATAGTGTTTTCAGAGATCTTGTACGATTTATTTGGGTTATAAAACGTTGCCTATCATCTACATTTATGTTTGGCCAAATGCAAAGACTTTAACAGTTTTACAAACCTTGACACTCATGATAGTTAGTATGCCACAACTCATTGATAAAGATTGGCCGTCCCGGAGTGTTATACTGTTTGTTCAAAACAACTTGGTATCTCACTTTAAAGTGGCTGAGGATATTGATGATGTATATAATTTATCCTTTTTTGTAACATGTGATAAGCAAATTTGTGAGGTTTCAATACATATTTTTTTACATTTTTGAATTATTTCTTAAGTCCAAACATTTGTGAATTAAGCAAAAGACTGTGTATTAATTGCATTTGTAAATATCTGTTTGGGTCTATATCTATGTTGTAATTGTAATTTGTCTATGGATCTTTTTTAATTGTGATTTTCATGATGTTGAAATGTTTAGTGTTCAAGTCCAAAAAGAAATTAAACATACCTCCTGTATTACCAAAAACTTAATACTCTTTCAAAACACATCACTTTTATTAACTTAAAGTATATATATTTAGCATCAAAACTGTACATCAAAACGGCCTATGGCAACTAATAAATTAAAAATTAATTTCATGTGATGATTAAAAATGAAAATAATTTAATGGGTGTTACACATCAATGTCCAACGGTAATTAAACAAAAATAAGCTCCAAAGTAGATTGAATCAAATGTATTCAGATGGAATCCTTACTAAAATAAATCAAGACTTAACTAAATCTGTTAGATATTATTTTAAATACAAATTTCTCAAGTAATGATTGTATTGATTGTCGTTTAAATTAATATTGCAATTGACCACAGCCAAGGTAAGTCTATCAAATGTTCTAATTTTTTTTACAAATTTACAAGGCCTAGCCAGTGTTTACAACTGAAAGTCCCATTACAGTGAAATTCTTAAAGTTTTGATTCTACCCATGATCCTATCTTCAATTTCATACTGCCTCCAGTTATAATACAAAAAACGAATTCACTTCAGTAGGAATCAAAGAAAAAAAATATAAATATACATCGTAATTACTGTGAACTATTAAGTGTTTTGTTTAAACTTTGTTGTGGACAATGTTGCTTATAAATGTTATAACCAACTGTAATCCTCTCGTATCTTGCTACTAGGACACTTAGCAATCTTTAAGTTGATTAATGTGTTTGAGCGAAAACAAATTCTTTAGAAAAGCCGTTCATATCTCATAGTTTGTAATCGTATCGAAGTATCTCTCTAGGTACTACACGATCGGTTTCTTGCGTTAGGACATATAAATGCTCATATTTATCTAACACTTATAGCTTGTCTTGTATTTATCTGCAAATTGTAATTCATAACGGTTCGATTAGTCAATTTGTACATAGCTTGATCAATGTAATGGTGATGTGATGGACTAGAAACACGCATCAGTCTATGTACATAGTAGTGGTGCCCGCTTGTTATCTCATGTACATATGTACAAATATTCGTGTACATATTTCTATCAATGTTACATCGTCTGATACTAAACTCTGTTGTTGAGTCTGTTCTATATCCCGTTACGAGATTTACAATTTTATCTACTGTTGTATCTATGAAAAATGTAGTGTTTTAAAATCTCTCGATATATTTATACCCTGTACTCCGTACGTATTTAAAATATTATATACTAGACTCGCTCGAGTATGTCACTTGAGTATTCGGTTCTTTCTTTTTGGACACTGGAATTTGTTGAACGGTGGTAACTATGGGTTGACCATTCCTCTTCTTCATCGGTATTGTTTACGTATCTGTGTAAATTATGTGTTTTGGACGTTTTGCTACATTGTTGTTAAGTGTGGTACTCTGTGATACCATCTGGTTATCTTATCTTTTGTATGCTGATTGTGTAACCTCTGCCATACTTTTCTTCCTGATAATGTTTAACCTATTTTTATACACCTCTTCAATAGTAGCTATGTCTTATCAAATTTGCTATTGTATGGTTGACAGTTTTAAGGAGGTTGAAAATCAGAGTATTCTTGGTCAAAAAATTGTTTGGTTTTGGAAAAGTGTGTGTTATTGAGTAACTGAATAACAAATTCATGATTATTACACAAATATGTTGTTTCATTTTTCCTCAAAGTCCATTGTTTAGTGCAATATAAAATGCAAGTTAGTATATTACGTTGCTAGTCTGGAAAATAAGTGTGTACCGTACTAGTATGGTTGTTCCCACGACCAAGGTAAACACATTTTGGACGAGTGACATACAATATTTTTGGCTATACTATAAAATAACCTAACAATAAAAAACTGTACAAATCTGTTATATATTCCCACTGACTAAAGGGCTTAACAATCACTACTCATAACGTCTAAGATAGGTTATGTTTTTGTTTGTACTCATAACCACTGATTATGATGCAATGACTTATTGTACCTGAACCACGCATTGCACCACTCTTTTTATAATCAGCTGGTGTCCGGTAAAAATTCATTACAGTACAGTAATACGTAATGAATCCCCATTTTATTTAGCAGGCGGCAAACAGCTATTTTCCGGACTTAATTCATCTGTGGAAAATCCATTGAAACAGTTTAGTGTGGTGAAAACAAAATAATTTACCTATGACCGTTTTTTTTTTTTACTAGCCTTTTCAATTCAGTTTTTAGAACCAAAAATATTTACTTTACCACACTGTTAACTTACTTCACAGCACTAGTGTAGTAACAAACCAATGGTAGTTCAAGGATCGAGAGAAAAAAAGTAAAATTGTAATGCATTGAATGTAGCTATTGCCAAACAAATGTGGTTGGGCGAATTTTACATAAAATTTGACATAGATAAATTTGACTAAATGTGAAGGTTACGCTTCTCAATAAGTGTTACTTTGTAAATGAATGCAAGAAACGATATTATATTTGGAATGATGGATTATTCAATTCAGCAACTCGATTTATCATTTTATTGTCAATTTATAAAACTAAAATATATAATATAACTAATAATATAAGATGGACGGCATACAGGCAGCTGGTGTATTAAACAGCAACATTTACAATATCAATACAAAAAATACAAAACAACACTACAACATTGTTTACAAAATAAAATGTAAAACACAATTTGTTCACATTGAGATAACATCACATAACATTTACAGTCCAAGTTATATTCAACCAGAGATTCATATTTTTACAGTAAAATGAAGTGTAAAGATGTTGATTACACAACATATTTTGCTAAGTTGAAATTCTATTATAAGTAATAAATACATATGTCAATTTCATACTGCCTCCAGTTATAATACAAAAAACGAATTCACTTCACAGTTTAATATAATCTTATATATATTAATATATTAATATTGTATATATTATATATTATATATATTAGGAAATCAATCAAGGAATAAAAATTTAAAAGTGAAAACTGAGTCAATTCCAGGTTGAAAGTAAAATAAAACGTGGTAAAAGTAAAATGAGTTGGCAATATTGTAAAGTGTACTTAACTCATACAAAATAATCACTTGTCTTTAATAGAATAGAATAGAGTAACAAACTAATATATTTGAATATTTTCATTTTGTGATACTCACAAAGATTTTTGCATGATACAACTTTTAGGTTACCTGTACACCCTGTACCGTTATTATGACAATTTTCTTGCTGATCTTATATCATGAGCTTTGACTGCATTATTCATTTTATTTGGAATTGACTTGTTTCCTAAAAATAATGATAAAAAACACGAGAAATATAAATCTGTTAAAAAATTATTAAAGCCAAAGCAGTACAAATAACATATATAAAAATAATTTAGAATTGTGATAAGATGTTACAACTTACAACAAGGATTATTGGTTAATAAAAAGGACGGAAAGTCTGTGCAATGCACTTTTGTAACACCCTGTAAATAATTTTAAGTACGTTTGGATTGGCATGATGCGATGAAAACAGTTTGAAAAAGAATATCTGGTTCAGGCACTTTGGATATTTGCTATGGTATACATAATTATGTAAATTATATTATGCTATCTATATATTATGTTAAACTCTCAACTACTGCTATTTCTTTATAAAAATATTTATATTGGTCTCCTATGTAAACAAATGCTTTTATACTACATTAAAAGCTAGAATATAAATATATACTGTGCAAACACCATTAAGTGCAGGAATGAACATCTGAATCATTCACAAATTTATAAATCTGTCCTTTTTAATAGTTACAAGCATTGATAAAATTAGAAACATTTGACAAACATATTTTTGCTTAGAATTTAGCAAATTGAGTTTGAAAAAGAGAATATGGAAGACCAGAACCTGAAAGAGTTCCGTTTTTAC